CAGACCACAAATCGTCGCAGGAATATGACATCACACAAAGATATCTACCGTGTTGCTATATCTGAAATTCGGAAACAAATATTTTATACATTAAAACGGAGAAAGTATATTTAAACAAACTCAGCTCTATAATAATACATAGGCTAAGTTGTTAGTATATAAGTTTAAGCTAAATGAAAATAATAATAATAATAATAATATTGGAAATAGCAGTCTTGTAGCCTAAATGGAAAAATGCACTCGATTTGAGTAATGTAAGGTCAGTTGAAAGGGAAAAAGTGAATACTGTTCCCATTTCTCACATGGTAAAAGACTAAACATGCAATGGCTTGGACTAGCCTAGCCTTGTATTAGCTTATCACTTGCTTCACCAGAGTGCTTCGGTGAACACAGCCTATCTGTGGATCTATTTGGTTAAAACCAATCTTCACTATAGCTGATGCAACTGGACTATTGAGTCACGGAGATATAGGCTATCTCGGATGTATGATTTTTTCCTTGTAGCCTTATTAGCCATCTGTTTGCTCCCACAAAAGCTAATGATTAAACTGTGATTTCTCTGGAATTGGAGTAAGATAGCCCAAGTCAAGATCACTATGGTGCACTCTAAAAAATGCTGGGTTGTTTTAACCCAATTTTGGGTCAAATATGGACAAACCCAGTTGTTGGATTATAAATTGCATTTTTTAAAATTTAGCCAAACAGCTGGGTTTGTCCATATTTGACCCAAAATTGGGTTAAAATAACCTAGCATTTTTTAGAGTGTAACTTTTTTGTTACCATAGTTTAAAAGTAATGATCCAATGTTGCATCATTATCAACATAAACATGCAATGTTCAGTTTAGTAAACATATAGAATAGACATATAAAGATGACATGTCATATGAAAAAGGGGAAAAGGTCATTTGGATTGGCTGTGACAACGGCCATGTTTAAAATTATTTTTTATAGATCTGTCCACTTACACCATGCATCAAAGGGATTAAAAAACCTTAGATTTCTTACGGTTTGAGTAAAACTCTAACCAGGGATACATGCAGCAAAATAGCTATTAGAAAATATAACATCTGCTGCTCACAATTTTATGCAACAATGCTATTCTTTATTGTTCCTGGCAAATGAAAAAATAAAACAAAATGCAGCTTTCTGACAAGCAATATATAATATAAAAATGTCTGATTAAATATTTCAAAATTCTTCGACAGTCAATAAGAATCTCTGGTGACAAACACCTCGAATTAGCTGCCACATGTTGATTCAGTTGAACTTTCCCATGTCATGTTTATCTAAAGTCACTGGTTTGTAGTATTTTGTAATATTACAGAAAATAAGGTTAACATCAGCCAAGATTTCACAGCTTGTATGGTTTTTTTTATAATCAAGGGGAAATAATAAAGTTACATGGGGAAATTAATCAATGCCCAGTTTCAATTAAATGTTAATTTAAATTAAAACTTTTTACTTTTCACAATTAAAACTTTTCACTGCAATACTCCAATCTGAAATAAAGTCTGTGTTTTCCACTCAGTCTTCCATTCTATACATTTAACATTACAAACGGGGCCAATTTTAAACCCTTGAAGTTGCATGGTAGTTTCCAAAGATAATGCCATACTAATTAAGCAACAAAAATCAGTCAAAACTGTTGTGTGAAAAAAAAGAGATGAAATAAAAAAGTAAAACATTATTAACATTATATGTCCCTAGCGCCTGTCATTTTTCTTAAAGTAGCAAATGATAAGCACATATTTATAACTCATGACAAATTTGTTCATTTTATGAATGTTTGTTGCAAGTTGTAATTAATATGCAACCAAATTTCCCTTTTATAAATTACCGCTGCAAATGATTCCCTATTAGAAAATAATAAGTCATTGACAATTTATTGAAATTTGTGAATATTGTTTCTTAACATGCAAAAAATTATTTGCAATAATATGTTAGAAAGACAATCTGAATTATGTTGAAGCACGTGCTGGAGTCACACACTGGTTGCTATTTAAGGCTTACATAATGAACCAAAATGGATGTATGTCCTTGAAAATTATCTCGAGCTGTGGAGAAGACAGAGTATAAAAAGTGGGTCTTAAAATCATGGGAACGCACTCAGCAGTCTCGGTCTCAACATGAAGGCTCTCATTCTTCTGGCTCTGTTCGCTGTGGCTTGTAAGTAAAGGGGCAGGGAAGATTTAGATTGGGATTAATACAGATCTGTAAAGGGTTTTTAAGTTTTTTTTTTCTAAACAGAAACTGTAAAATAGAGTCAATTTTTTATTTAATTCAGTATGGTCACAGCTCTGTTCATTAATTTTGGTAAAATGTATGTAAGAAACAATGAAACCTTATGTTTTCCCAGATGCCGCTCCTCTGAATGAGGATGACAAGATTGTTGGTGGATTTGAGTGTACTAAGAATGGTGTTCCATACCAGGTTTCACTGAACAGTGGCTACCACTTTTGTGGTGGCTCTCTGATCAGCAACCTCTGGGTCGTGTCAGCTGCTCACTGCTACAAGTCGTAAGTGAAAGTCCTTTTCGCATAAAATATACATAGGGGAGACTGGGCTGGAGCTTGTCACATGGGGAAGTTGTTACAATAATTATATCTCAGTAGGTTTGACTCCAAAGTCCACTTGCACAAAAACTGTCTTTGGATTTGAATTAAGGATAATATTTTTGTTTAACGATTTCTACTAATGTAGGAAGTTATCTTACTTTTAACATTTTAGCTTTGTCTTGAATTATTCTGTTTCGTTTTTTTTCTCCGTTCCTTTTTAAATTTAACAGAAAGCAACTAAATAAACAAATCAATGTAATGACAAATTTCTCCTTGCTATGCCATTCATTTTGTTTAAAGAAATTAAGTACGAAATTAAATTGATCAAAAGTAACAGTAAATGCATTTATAATGTTAAAAAAAGATTTCTATTTAAAATAAATGCTGTTTAATATAGCTTTCTATTCATTAAAGAATCCTGAAAGAAATTCCACAAAAAATATTAAGGAGATTTTAAATTGTTTTCAAATTGATAATAATAAGAAATGTTTCTTGAGCACCAAATCAGCATATTAAATGATTTCTGAAGGATCATGTGACACTGAACAATGGAGTAATGATGCTGAAAATTCAGCTTTTCATCACAGGAATAAATAACATTTAAAAACATATATATTGAAATAGAAAACTGTTTTAAACTGTAACAGAATTTCACAGTAGTCCTGTTTTTACTATATTTTGGATCAAATGAATGCAGCCTTGGTGGGACTCAATTTCGTCCGAATTGAATGGCTCGTAGGAAGATGCCAGTTTGCAGTCAGTTGTGGAGGATGTTAATCTCCACCAGTTTTTAAACAGACGCCGTTTTCACAGGAAGGGTGGTTAAAGATTTCTAAGGCATATAATTAAAAAAAAAAAAAGTGCAGTCATTTATAAAACACTGCAACATTCCATAAAAAAACAAGAATGATTTTGATTTCATGGTGAATTTAAAAGTTCTCCACACACTTGGCATTTGTTTTGGAATCAATTCTTTACCTAAAAATAATGTGGCTCAACGTCTGGACCAACAGTCACACAGTGAGCTTATGATCCTTCTTTCAAAAAACATCTTACCGACGCCAAACATTTGAATGGCAGTGCTCAATCTGCTCATAGTGTGACAATATGCCCTGCTATGTCTATCAGCTTACTAGTCAATATTCTGACATATGTGTCTATACAGAAATTACTTTTCAAAAATAAATATCTCTTAAGAGGCACGTAAGGGATAGATCATTAGTAATCACTTAAATTTCAGCCAACAAAGTGCACATTTTCTTATATGATTTGTAGAAGTATGTTAAAGAGTGTTAAGTTAATGCTTTCTGTATAAACCTTACTTGTGTCTATTCTCAGACGTGTCCAGGTGCGTCTAGGTGAGCACAACATTGACATCACTGAGGGCACCGAGCAGTTTATCGACTCCGATAAGGTCATCAGACACCCCAGTTACAACAGCAATACTCTGGACAATGACATCATGCTGATCAAGCTGAGCAGTGCCGCCTCTCTGAACAGCTACGTTCAGACCGTTGCTCTGCCTTCAGGCTGTGCTTCATCTGGTACCAGCTGCCTGATCTCTGGATGGGGAACATGAGCGCCAGTGGAAGTGCGTGCCACTGAATTAATATGGAATGAAACTTTTAATGCAGAAATCTTAAAATAACCCATTAATGCAAATTAACCAAGTGGGGACTTGATGTTTTCTCAGGCAACTACCCCAGCCGTCTGATGTGCCTGTGGGCTCCTATCTTGAGTGACACCACCTGCAGAAATGCCTACCCTGGTCAGATCTCCTCCAACATGTTCTGCGCTGGCTTCATGGAGGGAGGCAAGGACTCATGCCAGGTAAGATCAATACTAAATTTTTGATGTCAAGCTAACAGATATATATATATTTTTGCATTAAATATTTGAAACGCTTCTGTATCGCAGGGTGACTCTGGCGGCCCAGTGGTGTGCAACGACCAGCTGCAGGGTATTGTGTCCTGGGGTTACGGCTGTGCCCAGAGGGACAATCCTGGCGTCTATGCCAAAGTCTGCAACTTCACCACCTGGATCAGAGACACCATGAACTCCAACTAAGCTCCCATGGATTTTCAAAGCCATAATCATAATGGCATGTTGCAATGTCATTTGACAAACTAAAATAAACATCTGATAACAAACATTATAGACTTTTCTTTGTAATATATATATTATAATTTAGCTAAGTTTTGAGATGTCACATTGTCACAGCTTAAATTCCACATTATCATTAATTAAATTGACTTCATTTATTTTAAAGGTAATATAAAATGCATTTAATTAACATTGAATACATATATTATGGATCTTTTCATCGACCTTTGTTTATTTATTTATAAATATACCTGGTTGTACTTGCTATCTTGTTAAAAAAAAAAAAACCTGAATGTTTAGCCCAAAGAGATATACAGGTATAAATAACATATAAGACTTGAGCAATATCAGAAAAGACCTTTAATCTGTTTTAAATTTTCAATTACAGCACCAACACCAAAAGACATCTAAATCAAACTATAGGATCTCTAAATTAAACAACACTGTCCATTACAGGGAATAACTAGTCCAAATATTTTAAAATTTGTTTTTTTAAACAAAATTATGTGTCAGTACATCAGTAAGGTTGATATCACATGAAAAACAGAATATTCATATACAGCCAACGTTTTCACTAGTTTTAGAAGTCATTCCCATACAAGAGTTCCTCACACACTCATTGAACAAAAGAGAACAACTTTTACAGAATATTCATATTTGTCCTCTGGCATGGTCCAAGTAATGTCCATGCAATTCTAGAAGGTCGGAAAAACAAGCGTTACATTCAGTGCAAACCAAGTTGCCGGTTGTGTCCTCTGTCTTCAATACTGATGGTGAACGGCTTGAACCATTTAATTCTTCCATTGTTGACAAACTGTTCTCAATACGTTTAACCATTTGCCCCTCATTATTTTGATAATTGGGAAAGGAATGTGGGTTTGATGACGCATTAACCAATGTCCTGGTGGTGCTTGGGGCCTCAGTGTTTGGTTTTTGCTTCTGCTTTGCTAATGGATGTAAGCTTGAGGGACCTAAGTGTGACAATGAATGAGGCATTTCAGCACCATTTGAAGAGGAGAATGAGAGGAGTTTCTTTTGTGTCTGACTATCAGAAAGGCGGTAGCTGTGGCTTTGACGCTGGAAGTGGTGAGATTGATGTAGCTGGCCTTTCATTGCTATTGGCTTTTTCTCTACAGGCTTGTGGAGGAGCTGATGATGGAAAAGCAAGTCCAAGGTCTCAAAACTGGCATTGCACGTACCGCACTCGTAGGGATGCACCGCAGACTGCGGATCAATGGTGTAATGCGTCTCCATTGTATCATTTGTGAAGTGAACAACTCCATGTCGTTTGAGAACGATCGCACTTGGGAAACCTTTTCCGCAAATATCACAAATAAAGGGCATAGTTGAGCGGTGCCACTCTTGCTGATGATTTCTCAACTTTTGTGCATTTGAGAACGTTTGAGGACAGAAGGGACAGACATGAGCGTTAAGTTCTGGATGCTTCTGCAGATGTTTATTGTACAAGCCCACAAATCGAAACCCCAGACCGCACTTGGGACAAAAAAAACGGCCTCTTTTCTGTCTATGCAGCCGCTGATGAATCCAAAATTTGTTCCAGTTTTTAAACATCCTGTTGCAATCGACACACGTGAAGCCTTGAGCCCGCGAATGAGTGAGCATATGGGCTCTCAGCCTTCCTACATGCCGGAATACTCGTCCACACCGTGGGCAGAAGTACTTTCTTGGATCTGCTTTTTGGTGCGTACTGTTCAGTTGAGAAACAAAATAGCTGCATTTGATCGACTGATTCACTGAATAGAGATTATTCTGAGTGTCATAAACAGACATGGCCATTACCTGAGGAGGGCAAGCAAGCAAAGAAGAGCATCTTTTGAAATTCCTCAGCACAGGAAAATCTTTTTCAGGAGATTTTACTGGACTTGCACTTCGCATTTTTTGTGCTGTTCTTCTTTTCAAGGAGTTTTTGGGTTGTAATCTGTGAGGAGAACTGTAACCAGAAGACTTGTTTTTTGTGAGCCGCATGGCAATGCAGTGCTTGCTGTGCGTATGTAGCTCTGAGAGAAGACTGAACGTCTGCTTGCAGCAGTCACAGCTGTAACGCTGGGTATCCTTGTGGCCTTGCAAATGTAATTCATACTCATCTCTGGTGCCAAAGCAACTTTTGCAAAGGTGACACCTGAAGCTGATAACACCATCCAATTCCATTTCTTTCAACGTGGCATGTGGGTGTCTTTTACCTTCACACGTGTGTATCTTTAGTGGCCCGATCTGAGAAAATCCCTTACCACATTTTGAACAAAAGTAAGGCCTGATGGACCAATGCACTCTTTCATGGACACGTGCAGTGCAAGCCTGAGTAAAGGACTTGCCGCACACCTTACAAGAGTATGGTTTTTCTCCACTGTGAATACGAAGATGGATTTTGAGGACAGACTTGTAGCAAAAGACTTTGCCACAGATCGGACATGTTTGAGGTTTCCCTTTCCCCCTCCTCCTTCTTCTAGGGGTGACTTGATTACTACGACAGTCACTTTCCACTTTGTCGATCACGCTCACATGGTTCATGTCTGCGTTTTTCTCAGCCGTGGCTCCACTTCGGTCTTGGTGTCTGTGCGCACGTTTCCGACTTTTGGATTTATGGACTTTGCTGTGAGATCGCAGGTTAGAGAGTTGAGCGAAGGCTTTACCACAATCCTGGCACGTGAAGGGCTTCTCACCTGTGTGGACACGCAGATGAATGATATACGCAGAGGCATGATTGAACGGGCGCCCACAATATTCACACTTGATGACCCGTTTCTCTTTGCGTGGCCGTCCGCGAGAAAATGAATGAAATACACGTTTACTTCTTTGATCTCCATACTGCTTGCCTCCGCAGTGGCTTCGGTTGAAGGTGTCTGGACATTCAGCTCTGAATTAGGCTCTTGCATTTTCTCAGGAGAATGATCTAAACCTGCATCATCCAATGTAACATCAGTTTGGTTTAATGTGTCAGAGGGCAGGCCTTCTTGATTTTCAGTGTCAGAATTTTTTGCATCTGCAGTGTCCTCATGGATTTGTTTTTCAGAATCTTCATCACACTGGCTATCACTTATAATAGGACAGGATGTATCACAGACATCTTTCTCAGATGTTTGGACAGTTGAACAGTGGGCTTCATTCATGTCAGACTCCCTTTCAGACTGACTACTTGAGATTTCATCTGTTTGAACAGAAATCTGAGTGTCGATTTGTGGTTTATTTAATTCTGCATTAAGAGGCAGTGATTTTGGTCCATTATCTGTGGGGCTGGAAAGACAATTAGAACTTGACTCTGGCTGATCGAGATCTTCCAAACATTTCTGAGCATCCATTTCAGCTTCTTTGACAGGGGTAAAATCAGACTTAAATTTCTCTGGAAATGTATTCACATCTGCATTACGAGAGCCTTTTTCACTCTCTTTTTCGTCAACATTAACAGGCAAGGACTCAGGTAGGGCATTAGTGCCTGCAGGCGACGGTTCCTCCACTCTTCTGTTCTGGGAGCTAAATGCCAGACCTTTTGAAATAAATTCCCCCATACCTCTCTTCACAGATTGCTCCTTGGTTTCATCCTCATCAGTGTTGGTTCCTTGCTTCTTATCCTCTCCTTTAAGCATGATGTGCGAGTCGCCTGCAGGTTGCCTGAGTTTCCCCTTCACTCAAGCTGAAACCAGACAAAGGAAAAGGAATGAAAGATATAGATAAGATATTAAAAGATTGATTGCATCTAATGATAAGTTTCAAGTAGATTAGTAGCTGCTTCACAGCAGGTTATCCACATAATAGGTGTATTAATATTGTTTTAGTACAACATTGATTAAAATAATATTATATACATCATGTTTGATCTCTGGAAAAGTGTGTCCCACGGCATCTGACTCTAAAACAACACAACACATTCACTGGACCTGATTGAGAGCTGCTGATGGACACTGATCATAATATGATCAAATCATTTATTTTTACTGCCAAGTTGAAATTGTAATGATATATGGTCAATTTTAAAATGTTGTTACGACACAAACAAGGATTGAGTTTTGGTATTTCTATATTATTTAATGGCAAAATATTATATCCCTAAATGTATAATGTCATCATCAGTAACAGCCACGTTTGTTATTTTGCTGCAGGATATCCTCAATCTTTGTAACTTCTAAATAGTTAAATAATAATAGAATAATGTATAAAACATAGGAAAGTAGGTAGCTGAATACCTAACGATTTGTTTTTTAAGTTGATCCTTAAAAGTATCTTTTGCCGTGATTTTTTGTGTGAGCATATCAGTGTTATGCTTTTTATAAAGGATGGGGCTGCAACCACAAAAACTGAAAATTCTCGGGACAGCAGCGTATGTCTAAAAAACAATCAGAAACGATCTTAAAACAGGACTTTAATTGTAAAATGCCGAACTTCTCCTTTAATTCACGTGTTTCTATGATTGTCAATAGTGGCTCGTGGTCCGTTCATTTATTAGACCGAATCATTCAAAGAACCGGCTCATACGAGTCATTCGTCAGTGAAAAGAACTACAACAAAGAAGGCGAAACAAATAAGGGTTTTCAACTCAGTGTCCCTTTTTGAGTGCTTACTCAGTATTTATATTTAATTATACTCAAAAATGACCGCAAAAGCACAACAACCAGGGAACAAAATTCACTGCCGCAGTAGATAACGGTTGAATCAGAGCGACATGACGCTCTGCAGGCGATTGCAAAGGCCATTCCTTCCAAAATGTCTCTGTAATGTTTTATGCATGCGCTGTTACAGTTAGCCCTGCATCTTCCACGACAGAACCTGTCCTTTAAGAACGAGTTTATTTTGAAAAGCGAAATCAGCGTCTTTTAACAGGATTAATGTGTCTGTCGATTAATTCAACGCACGACTAAACGAATAATTGAAAACACCAACACTTATTTTTTTTTAATAATAAAAACACTACTTCAATGCAAAATTACACATCGTTTGATCGACTGCATAGAATGAGCTTTTGCCTTAACTTTGTAGAAAGTACATGCGAACAAGCAACACAAAGAAAGGCAACCAACCTTACCTTTCATGCTCTTTCTTTTCAGCAGCACCAATGAACTACGATTCAGGACTCATACTCTAAACAAATGGAGTTTCCGTTTTTCCGATAAAAGCCTCTTCGACGTCTTTTTGTGGATGTGTGGATTTTTATTAAAGAAAAAAAAAACCCGAATATCTGTGCACACACAAATAATTAGTTAAATAATTCTAGTTTGACTGCATTTACCGCGCACGATGTATACCAAACCATCAATTACATACAAATACATGGGTATGGGTATGACTTTTATTCAATTTTAATTGCAGTGAAATAAAAAAAAAAAATATATACAGCATTAAAACGTTTCAGAAAACAAATTGTTCATTGCAAAAGCCATGGAAACCAAACCATAGAAATGTTTCAAAATTAAATGTGAAATCATGAATAAAAAATATAGCCTATGTATAGCCTATATATAAATTTCTAAAACCATAAGCAATTTAACATAGGTTATGACAACGGCAACTATAGGGCTGATCTGATGCTGCCCTTCATTTAAACAGAACCAAGTATAGTGCTGATTCAGAACAAGTTAGAAATGTAGCCTACTACTGGTCATTGTTAATTATGTTCATTCATAATACAGATTATGAACTGATATTAAATTAGCTATTGGTATATTAAAATGTACTAGTGCATTTAAAATATTATTTTAGACTAATAAATGCAAATTGTACAAATATTGTTAATTTTTTTTATTGTCTGCTATTGAAATAAATTAGAACATAACATTATAGTGAATTGTTGCCAAAAATAATGTTTACTCAATAACTGAACTCCGATAAGCAACTTGATTTTCAGATTATTTGTATGACCACATATACACTAACAATTGTGACATTTTTTTGTGTCGCTCCTGAATCTGTTTTTGATGCAAATTTAACATGTTGACTTAGCTCATTATCTACAGAAATTAATGCATTTTAATTCGTTCGGTCCTCATCATTTTTCTCATTTAATCAGTTCACCAAATCTTTCAATCTTTATCATTTACAGTAGATGTGCCCTACAAGTTTTGCTATTGCTAGCAACATTTTGCACACTACAACATGTGTGCATGACCACATCTGTTTTTACTTTACTGGAGACTTAGAAAGGTGTCACGATTGTGTTTATTGATGCAATGTAGAACATGTTTACATCAGAATGTATTATTTACAGTAGACTAACAATACACAATGGCTACATTAAAAAAAAGTCAGAAAACTGTTGTTGTTTTTTAGTTGATACAGTGCATTCACCAAAAATCTCTGTATTAAAAAAAAATCTGTATTCAATAGATGAATTAATGAAACCAATAAAATACAGAGGAAGCCAAATATAATATTAACAACACAGATTTTCTACTACTGATCAGATATGAAACATTTTTTAAACATTTTAAACTATTCAAAATTATTTTTCACTAGTCTTTTAAAAATGTATTCAAACTTCTGCTTTATAACGTCTTTTTTTATTACAATTTGATCGCATATGCAGCAATGAAAGCAAGTAGTAGATCCAACTTTTATGTATGCAGAAAAGGTATCGGTTTCTGCTCTAGATCATCTTCTGTGTCATTTGTTGTTGTAGTTGATGATGTTTCAGGCACTGGCCCTAATATGCGGTGTACCCTTCTTGTGTGATTTTTAAGGGACACTATGTCAGGATAGCTGCGTTGGCAAATCTGACACTTGAACAGATTGTGTTGAGCCATGCCCCTCGACAGCTCAAGACCACCCACGATGCCATGGACCCTCCTTCTGTGGTTTCGGAGGGACTGTACATCTGGATAGCTGCGTGCACAAATGTGACATTGAAACTGATTGGGAGTGCTGTTTTGCTCGGCCCCCCTCGATGGCTGAAACGCAGCACTAAAAATACGATGCACTCTCCTTCTGTGGTTTTTCAACGATTTTATGTCATGATAGGAGCGGGCGCATATCTGACACTGAAACTGGCCAGAACGGACAGGTTCTACGTTACGGACAGGTTCTACGGTACCCAGATTTGGCTGTTTAGGCCGATGAACTTTCCTTAAGTGATCCTTCAGGGATTGAAGCTTTGGATAACTGCGAAGGCAAATCGGACATTGAAAAGGAGTAGATGAACTGCTTTGCGAGCCTGCTTGTGGCAACCGTTCCGGTGCGTCCTCCGCTGGCGTCATTCTGCTAATGACTCCATGGACATTTCTTTTATGCTCCTCGAGTGCCTGAGGTGTTGGACAATTATGGTCACAAATTTGACACGTCAACCCAGCTTGCCTGCTGTGAGAGACTAGGTGTCTCTTGAGCCCATCTAGACAACTGAACCAACGCACACACACCGGACATCGAATCGGTTTAAATGCGGGTCTACAAGTATTACTTTGGATGTGAACTTTAAGGGTCAATGGGTTGTTGAATGTTGCACCACAACGAGAGCAAGTGTGTTTCCTCTGACTTGTAGTATCACCTTTGCAACGTAACCGCATGTGTCTTAACAAGGAACTGCGAAGACTGAAGTTCTTTTTGCATTTATGGCAAGTCAATGTCTCAGGAAGTGACCTATGGTTCACATGTTGAGGTGGCAAGAGCGCAGGCGGTTGTGCTTTTATGTTAAGCGGCGAAAAGCCTCTGGATTGTTGCGGTCGAGTCGGGGCACTCGATGGTATCGTTTGAGAAAATGAACTAGGTTGTTGCTGGGAACCTCTTTGCTCATTTGATGGGATTTTAGATTGCTTGTGCAATTGCTGATGTGCTTCAAAGTCCATCCACGACTGCAAACTCTCACCACAGTGAGGACAAATGTAAGACTCCTGCGCATGCACCTGCAGATGTTCGAAGAGAAGTCGAGGGCAAGTGAACGAGGCTCCGCATTCACACGTCACCCTCCTTGGGAGTACAGATGGAAGTGACATGATCCCCCAGTTTCTGCTACTGCTAGTATTTTGAGCGCTCTCCTGTTGGGCTGCTTGGTTTTCTGTAGATGGAGACAGGACAAACAAGTTTTCCTGAGATGCAGGCGTTGTTTTAGACTCCACGGTTCTAGAACTTATTACTGAATCCGTTTTTTTTGTTGCATGGCAGTTTTTTCTGTGCTTATTTAGATTGTCTTTGCGGCTGAAGAACTTGCCACATTGAGGACATGGAAACCGTTTAATTGGCCCAGGCAAATCAGATGATTTATTCTCAACTTTTTGGTCTTCCAACTGTCTCGCCTCGCAGATCTTCAAGTGCTCCTTTAGGGTAAATAAGCGAGAGTAGCTTTTCTGGCACCCATTGCAAACATACCGTTTCACACCTTTATTAGTCACATGCACCTGAAAACCATTACTATGCATTGCTGAATTAATTTCCTTGCCCTCAGGTAGATCTACAATGACAACATCCTGATCTTCATCACAGTCATCTTTAGCCACGCCAGTCAAATCATCCTCATCGGAGTCCTTTTGATCTACATCTATTAGTACATCAATTTCAGCATCATCCAATGGCATGGTCCACTCCTTTTCAACCAATTTACCTTTTTCCTCTACTTTCGTTTCAACCATTTTGGCTGGATCTCCAGAGTTTTCAGTTGATTTGGAGTTAGAAACACTGGCAAAAATGGACTCATGGGTTTCTGGGGGATTTATCAGATCCTTCCGATGCATCTTCAACCCAGTCTGATTTTTCTTGTCAATTGAAAATTCTGTATTCTGTTCCTCCATCTTTACCCGCTCTGTGCCTACGCCAATATTTATATGCTGTGATGACATTTGATTTGTTTTTGAGTCTTGCTTTGCTCTATTGCACACTTCCATATTTTGGAGTTTGACGGGAGGTTGGTTGGCAACAGTGGGCGAGGATTTCACAGAAGATTTATAAGGACATTTATGAATTTTGAGGCGGTGCCTCCGTGTGTAGCCACGCTTGCATAAAGAACAGTAGAACAGTTTGTCCAGCTGTTGAGCTACAGGGCTGATGGGCGTCACAGACTTCTTTCCCAAAGATTGAGAGTTTCTAGAAAATGCATCAAAGCAGACGTGGTTCTCTGGGACAGAGATTACTGTTATCACAAACTCTTGGCAACAAAGACAAAACTTAACTCTCTCTTTCTTGTGCAAGGCATGATGCATTATCAAGCTGTCTACGGTTTGGAAAACCCGCCGGCAGAGCCTGCACTGAAGTTTGCCTTCAACGTTGTCCCGGCCAAAAAGTTTTTGACGAGTCTCGAGAACCACCACGGGGCAGAGAGTTTGTGTCACGGATATAATCTTCCCCTTCTTTGACAACATCTTGCCAATTTTCACATTGACCACATTGTCTTGTTTCATCTTTGATAGATCCCCCAGTAGCTCAGGCTTTGATATCGTCATGGCAGGTGCAGGTTGCATTGGTGCTCTCGGTGAAACTTTTCTGGGGGCAAGTTCCTCTGTTTCATTTGGGCAGGTTGTTTATGACTCATGTAGGCAGAAGCTAGCATCTTCAGGATTGATTTCTTATTAAATGCAGCGGATTCTTCACAAGATTCTGGTGCTTTCTCATTGTCATGCACAGAATGGTTTACCACGTTTAAAGTGTCTTTCTCAAGGATCTGCACTTGCTCTTCTCCAACCACGTTGGAGGATTTTAAAGTGTCACTATCAAGGATCTGCACTTGCTCTTCTCCAACCACGTTGGAGGATTTTAATGTGTCCATATAGAGCATCTGCCCTTGCTCTTCTCCTACCACGTCAAAAGATTTTGAAATGTCTATATCGCGGATCTGCACTTGCTCTTCTTCTACCACATTAGAGGATTTTAAAGTGTCCATGTCACAGTTCTCCACATGCTCTTCTCTTACCACGCCAGAGGAAGTTAAAGTGTCCATCTCATCTTGCTCTTCTTCTACCACATATGAGGATTTTAAAGTGTCCTTCTCAAGGATCTGCACTTGCTCTTCAGTTACAGAGGGAGATTCGATTGGTTTCAAGATGTTGCTTTCCATATCTGCAGAGGATTCGGTCTTCTTGATATCAGCATTTGAAGTAGGAGGTGCGCTTTCTGCCAGGGATTTTTCATTGGAATGGGATGGTGAGAGACTGTGGAACACTTGGTCGGAGACAGGACGGCTGGAGTTTATTTCGCTATCTGGCACTACAGGAATCTTACCCAAGTCTGATTTGTCCTTATTTTCTGGCACATGTTGCTTTTTGTGGGCCTCAAGAGCTGTAACACCACTAAACTCCTCACCACATTCACACATGTAGGTTTGGGCTGGAGAGACTGGTGAGGCCGACATTGTACAGTGATGTTTTTCAAGGAGATCTTTACTCGCAAATAAGCTTCCGCAGCTGTCACAAGTAGGTAGTGTTGATTCTGTCTGGCAAGAGATTTCACTTGCATGAGTTGCTTGGTGCACCAGGAGTGATGCCAAATTATGAAATGTAGCTGAGCATGCCACACAGCTGTAAGTTTTAGGACTCCCAGCTGACTTTGTTTCTTGAAGTCCAAGCATTTTTCAGGTGCCAGAAGATTCCACAGCCAAATGTTAAATTTAAGAATGGTTACCAAGGTCTTTGTTAATGTTGAGTACCTCCTAAAAAAGAAAGCAAATAAACAAAATTAGTGGCATAGCACGAGTTTGTTCTCAATACAGGCATACATCATGTAATGTTATAGATCTAGGCAGTGTCATGTTTAGGACCCTATAAGTTTAGTAAAAGACAATTCTGCAATGCAGTTCTAAAAATGAAATTATACATGTAACTTCAATTTTTTTGAATCAAATAAAACTATATAATTATATATATTTAAAATATTATATATATATATATATATATTTTTTTTTTAAGTGTTAGAAGTAGAAAGTGATTAGCCTTTATTAATATTTATTTACAGAGCAAAGCCAGTCTGTTCTCAAATAGACAAGGCTGTTTTTGATTAACAAATATTAATGATTAAAAAAGAACCTGCTAATGTCAAAAATCTTGAAATTCATTACATTTTAAAAAAAGTAGGGTTTTTTTCAAACTAATGTTTATAATACTGTAAATTTAATACTGTAAAATATTTTTTACTTTGTGTAAAACAAAACAAAAAAGCAACATTTCTAAACACTTTACAATATAAAAACTAAATACTTTTGAATAATGCAAGTTATGCCTTTTACAATATCGTACATCCACATGTCATTAACCTCAGTGAGTACCTGCATATTTAAATGAGAAAAACAATTTCTGCTCAGGAAACTCAAGCTAGTATAAATAAAATGCTGCCCTTCTCTCGTTTTTAAATAACGTGTTTAATTATTCGTAACAAATAGCTTACGTTTCAAAAGCAGCAACAATAGAGGACAGAGAAAAAGACAAGACGGCTCAATGCATGCTTCGATTTTGATAGGCCTGGCCGCTTCCCGTGGCTCTTTACTCAAATATATTTAATAATCATCATGTCAACAAATAAATAAAACGCATCACCAGGTTGATATGCATACTACCTGCTGGTTTAGCTTTAGTATATAGTTTAAAAAAATAATGAAAATAACACAAACCCTGCCAATAACAAACGCTGCAATGGATGCTGCAGACTTGGCATCAGACTAAACATGTTTTTACTGTACAACCAACCTCTAACATCTAAACGCGAACACAACCTCTTTTCCAAAACAAACGCGCTTTAATAGGAATATCTGATTGCTTGATATAGCGCGTGCGGAGCGTCATTCGCGTGCTGCACAGGGGAATTGAATGACAAAAACCGCAGCTAACGAATGTAACGTATGCGCGAATAAAAACGAAGCACAACAAGTACTTAAAACAGTTATTGGTATGCACTCACCTTGGGAAAGTACGATGTGCAAACTTGCATGATTTTACTCGGATAAGTTATTTATTTTCACTCCGAAAGACGGTATGTATTTATCAACGGGTTTCAGTATAGACATGTTATTCCAGCTGTTTACTATAGAGGGCAGTAGATATGAGCGCTCACTTCCACTCCCAGTCCCCAGATGTATGGATTAAACATACCGCCATCAACTGGTGTGAGGGACCGCTATTGCCTCCCTACAGAAATAGACCTTCCTCGTCATCGGGGTACGCTATTATTTATAGGCCTATGTGATATGGAAGGTAGTAGGCCTATAGTTATAATCTTTATTAAATAAAGGTATAATCATCATCAAACTTTGGAAAGAGACACATTTCTGATCTAATTTGCTGCTCAGTACTTAGGTGTTTTTTTATTTAAAACACTGAAGATATGGAATACCAAAGCTGACAAAAATAATAAATACAGGCCACAAAGAAATACAATATACTAAATAAATACAAAAACTACTTTTATTCCCATATTTATTAATTATATCTTTATCCCCCCTCCCCATTATTAATTTGTTTATGCATTTATTTATTTCCAAATACATTTCTTTGTATGGTAATGAGAGGGTGTGTTTTACTTAATAAGCTCAGAGCTGAAATGCAAGAGCTGGGAGAGAATGTGCCTTTGCAAGATAGGAAAAATGACCAAAGTCGGCTGAAAGGAAGCAGCATGGCTAAAGTATTCTCTTTTAAACTATTCCTAACTTAAACCGGTAACTGTGTTTTGGAAACAAAATAGATGGGATTCTAACTGGTGCATGCCAGTAGACCAACTTAGGTCAGCAAAAAGCCAGCTACTAGATGACCATACTAGCGAGAAAATAGGTAGCTTGTTCCAAAACAGAACCACCACCTTAAATTTGATATAATTAAGGGATAACTGTTATAGGTCCTGTGGTGGTTTTATATATGTACAGATGCAAAAGCCTCTAAATGCCATTTGAAATTTTCTTCTTTAATGATGATTGTATATTTAAGTTCAGTAATTTCACTTAAATGGCAATGATAATTACTATTAATTGTTATTTAAGTGAAATTACTGAACTTAAATATACAAGTTTGATAAAAATCATCATTAAAGAAGAAAATTTCAAATGGCATTTAGAGGCTTTTGCATCTGAACTCTTCATATTTATATATATATATATATATATATATATATATATATATATATATATATATATATGTTGACTGGAAACCAGTAAAATAATCATGCAGCAATATATACTTCGGTTTCGAAGAGGACACTAAAAGATGAGACATTTTCTAAATCAATTCACTAAAAAATAGATGAAAAGCAAAACTGAAGTTATAGTGATTCATGCAGGTTTCGTTTTTAATGCTCATGTTATACCAACGCCAAACACACCACACAGTCTGAATCTGAGCATACTTATCAAATGTTATAAAACAGATTAGACTTCTAAAAGTACCAAGTTGGGTAGATCTTGACCTGTAAATATCTTAGACTTCCAATTAAAATAATGGATATTAGAGAAACGTGAAAGGCTACACAACTCTATAATTAACTGAGCGATGGTGAGATTACTCCAATGGCTAAATAGACATGAATGGTAATAGTGAAGGCTGATTAATAAGTGGATAAAAAACATGGCTCAATGTGACTAGTTACCTCAAGTCATTCCAAAAGTGAAAGAAATTTCTCAATAACAGCAAAGTAGATGCAAATGTTTACTAGTTGAAGAAATTATCAACATTGCCATATTATACAAAAGTAAAACTATACATCAGGGTTTATAGTCATATATACGTTAGCACTACTGTAGTTTAAACAGAAAGGGTACAGTATTTTTGTCAAGCCTGCTTTCTCTTCTTTTTTTTGTTGAGCAAAGCCATTGAAGTTAGACAGTTCTTAAAAAGATAAAGCTGGGTTTTAATGAAACGGAATACATCATTTTAACTCAAGGCATTCACATTATATATAACCACGATGTGATGAACCCTTAACTTGACCTTAAATGTTTACAAATACATAGATAGTAAAAATAAAAAAAAAACATTAAGAAATATTAACAATTAAATCTACAAATTTCCTCTAACTTTCAAAATGATGTTTAAAACACGTTTGCCTAATAAATTTAGCAAGGTCAAAAATTACTTCAACAATGAAGGAATGGTGCAGGGTTTTCAACTATACATCCTTGTGAACTGCACCGTGGAACATTAACATCTCCAACAACTTCATTTATGCATGCATATATACCTATAGTTCCATACATCATCTAAATTGCATATTAATATACACACATCAGTCTGAGTACTGTACAAAAGAGAATTTAGTCAGCAGTTCACAGAACTGTAGAACAATATTGTATGAACATTAACAGACCGACTCAGAACTATGGTAAAACACCCACACTATATTTCAAAGTGGATAAAAGCAGTTAGGCCAAGTAAAAAGAACAATGGATTCTATGTACAGTTTATCTTAACAAATAATGTTCAGAAAACTGAATGAGTTTGAATAACCTGCATTGCAGGAAACAGTCATCAGTAATTTGACCTTTATTCATGCATTGGGCTTTGGAAGGGAAAATGTATTGATGATTGGGACTGAAGAGATTCTGCAGAAGCAGAAGCAGCAGTATGAGTCAGCTGATGGTCCTCCAAAAGGTTTAGAAAAGCAAAGGCTTTGTCACATTCTGTGCATTCATAGACAACTTGTCCTACATGGGTTTCCTGGTGCTTTTGCAACTGATCAAACAATGGGAAGGATTTATAGCACATGTCACACCGGAACTCATTGTCCTGACTTTGATGTTCGGCATGTTTCCGTTTATGTTTTGCCAGATCGTGTGCTGTAAGGTAGGTTCTGTAGCATATTGGGCACTTGTGCTGCCTTTTTGCATCATGCAGTCTGCGGTGAGATATGAGACTTGGTTCCGTTTTAAAGGATTCTGAGCACACGTCACACTTGTAAGGCCGTTCATTGTGAATTTGCTGATGCTGCGTAAGGTACCGTTTCTTCGTAAAACCTTTATTACAAACCAAACACTTGAAAGGACGCTGATCCTCGTGATGCTTTTTATGGTGTTCCATTAAACTGCTATTGGAGGAGAACCGTTTTTTACAGATAGGGCAAATAATGAAGTCTTCTCCAACATCAACCTCCTCCTCTTCATCACCTGCTTGAAACTGAGTCCCTGAACTTTGCTTCTTAGAGGAAGAGACCGATGACTCTGACCGGCGCTTGTCTAAAAACGTCAAATTTCGATTACTACAGTGGTGATTGCGGAAAGCATCACTTCCAAGAAAGTTGTCTCCGCATTCGGTGCATTCATACTGTGTAGCAGCAGTCAAATGGCATTGTTCATGTTCATCAAGTTCTTTCTTAGATGGGAAAGTCATATTGCAAACGCTGCACATGTGAGAATGAACAGAGAGGTGATTTGCGAGGTCCAATGCTTGGTAAAAACTCTCAGGACATATGGGGCACTGGTAAATTTTGGCACGCTTCACTGTTTCTACTCGTATAGTCTTTTCACTGGTAGGAAAGTTACTGTCCTTGGAAGCCTTTTCATTCCTGTGGCTTCGTAAATGAGTGAGAAAAAGGTGGTGGTGGGTGAAGCTCATGCTGCAATGATTGCACTGATAAGACCCTGGTCCTGACAACTGATGGCTGAGCTGATGCTTTTTAAGGTGGGAACCATGTAAGAAATACTTGTTGCATTCTGGACATGAGTATGGCCTCTCTTTTGCTGGACTGCAGCCATGTTCTGAGAGCTGCTCCGGATCTGGAAATCTTACTTGACAAATTCCACAGCGATACTTGTACTGCTCAATGTTACTTGATGGAAGGCTTTTACTGGAGATGGCTGAAGTCCCTTGCTTTGTTTGAGGCTGTTGGGGCGGAATCAATGGTGGAAGCTCTTCTTCATGCTCTGTGTGCATCTTCCGATGCTCTGCCCGACTTGTTTTACAGGAAAAGGTTTCATCACAAAGGTCACAGGGAAAGTTTTCATCGCGGTGGGTCACCATGTGCTCAGCTAGTTTCGTTGGGCGAGTGAAGCTCAGTTGACATTTGGTACAGCGGTGGGCACTCTTTCTGATATGTGTTTGCTTGTGTTTGCGCAGGGTGAAGAGCGAGACAAAACCTTTACCACACATTTGACACTGAAACTCAGACTTGTGGCATCGCTGATGTTGTTGCAAGTTCGCTAGCTGAAAAAAGCACTTCCCACATTCCTCACACTCGAAGGGCTTTTCGCCAAGATGACATCTTTGATGATCCTCGAGATTTTCTGATGTTAAGAATGTTTTACCACAAACATGGCAAGGGAAGTATGGGGCAGAATCAGAGTCATTGTCGCTGTCATCTTCATCTTCAAAATTTCTGCTGGACTCTTCCTTATCTGACTCCTGACTTACACTGGCAGATGATTTTTTCAATCCATCAGCGAGGGGTTTGACTGAATCCAGTCCATGTTTTACTTTGCAGTGCTTTGTGTATGACTTTTTTACCGTATAGGTTTTGTCACATGGTTCACACCTATATACTTCAGGGTGCTCTGTTCCTTTTTTCACACTAGGTTCTTTTGAGCTGGGCAGGTGTGCATGCAAATGAGCCATCCTTTGGTGAATGGTCAGGGATTTAGAAGTCCAAAACCGCATCTCACAATGGTTACAGACAAAGGGACGACTGGGGTCATGACAAGATTTATGGAGGTCCAGGTCAGAAGGAAAACGAAACCTCTTGAAGCAAATTTCACAAGTATTAACCATTTTTTTCTGATGTTGGATTTTCATATGCCTTTGCAATATACCAGCTTGAGCAAAGACTTTACTGCACAACTGACATCTGTGGATATCTGATTTGCGCTCTTGATCTTCACGGCCATGCTCCTCTAAATGACTTATGAGTCTCAGCCCATCTGTAAAACTCTGATCACACTCAGAACACTGATACTTGTGAACAGCATCTCCTTTTTCTGCATTTCCCTTTTCTGCATCTCCTTTTTCTGCATCGCCCTTTTCTGCAGCTCCCTTTTCTGCATCATTTTCCTGGTCTTGATCTTTACATGAGAACTTAGTCTGCAGTACTCCAGTTCCTGTTGTATTTGAGCCCTTGTTAAATATTAACACAGTGTCATTTAGAGCACAATCTGTTTCGCCTGCACTTTCCAAGGCAGATTCATTATTTGAAATAATTGTGTGACCCTTACATTTTCTTTTGTGTTTCTCCATTCTCGTTTTGGTCCAAAAACCAATATGGCATTTTGTACAAGAAAGGGGGTATACACCATTATGTATGCGCATATGCATACCTAGTCCAGTGCTCCTGGAAAACCGCATGTTGCACTTAGGGCATTTAAGAGGCTTGCTAAGGTCTATGTTTGAACATGCACGTCGCTCCCTTATCGGACTGCTGCTTTCTTGGCTCTGCCCATCCTCCTCATCAAGTGGCTCTTGCTTTATTATTGGCAGGTGATTTGATATCAATTGCTGTTGATCATCAACTGACTCTTGTGGCTGATCAGATCTATGCTTTGCTAAAAAATGCTGCTGGAGCTGTGAAAACAATAAAAAACGGTCACTACAGTTAGCACAGGAGAAACCTTTAATCTTAGTGGGGCTCTTGTTTACCTCTTTAGAAGATCCAGGTGATTTTGAGCTGACAACACAGGTCTTTTGGTGTATAGACAGTGCATCTCGGGTAAACAGGTCACCACACTTGTCACAAAGGACTTTTTCTACATTTTCCCCCTTTCCGTTGCATTTAACCAAGTGTCGTTTCAAATAGTCTGTTCTGATGAAATGCTCTCCGCAGTTAGCGCAGCCATATGGTTTTTCTCCAGTATGAAGACGTAAATGAACCTTCAGTTGTCCCGATAATTTAAAGCGTCGAGGGCAATACTCGCATTGGTATTTAAATTTATTCATGTAATGCACTTGTATGCGTTGCAGAAGTTTGGAGGTTTCCCTGCATGGCTGCTTTTGAACATTGTTCGTGGCAGATGGCACACTTTCCTTTGAAATCTTTTTACATCTGATGTTGAGGTTGTGCCTGCTCAAAGTCTTTTTAGAACTGTATGTTTTGCCACATCTTTTGCAAGGAAAAGGTTTATTGGTAATGTGGAGCATGGACATATGGCGCTTCAGATCACTCTGTGTGGACAACTGCTTAAAGCAAACTGTGCATTGCAATGGGTCACCTTCCTGGGTTTTGCTTTGGGGACTTGTGTTCAAGCTGTCGAGACTCATCTTTACAACTCGCACCTCAAGTCGTCGTTTTCCTCTGCAGCGGGCTTGGTGCAGTTTTAAATGATCATAGCGCGAGAAACAACTTTCACAAGTCTTGCAACGATACGGCTTGACCTCTGTATGAGTGAGGATGTGACGTCTTAGATTTCTGGCTCTCAAAAATGATTTAGTGCAAAATTTGCACTTCAATGCCTCACCATTTTCGCCAGGAACCGCAGTGATGTCCTCCTGATTTTGTGCTTCAGCAAACATTGATTTCATTTTCTTAGATTCTTTTAAACTTTCAAATCTATGTTCCTTAGGTAAACCACCACAAAAAGCCTTGTGTTCCAAGTATCGATCCTGATTGTCAAAATTCTGTCCACAATGTATGCATGCATATGGGGTTTCCTTTGAATGAAGAGAGAGATGTTTCTGGAGAAAACTTCTGGTTCTAAAACATTTAAAGCATTGTGGACATTTATGCTCAAACCTGTCCTTCTCCTTTGTACTAGTTTTGATTTCAGTTGATAGCTTGCCTTTGCACTGCTTTTCGTGACCATCTCTGTAGTTTTTTCTAGAAAAAAATCTCCCACATTTTCTGCATGCAGGTTTTAGCTTGTCTCCATTGCAGATTGCGTCGTGATCCTTAAATTTTCTTTTCCTGTAAAACTTCCCGCACTTTGAACAAGGGAAAACAGTCTTTGCCAAGTGGGCTCTTTCATGAAGTTTCAAATTGTTGGGAAAACGAAAAGAATGTGGGCAGTATGAGCAATTATAGACTTTGTTGGTCTTGCTTAGTGCAGTGTCTACACTCTTTTGCAGTGCAGTGTCTACACTCTTTTCTGCCTGTATTTCTTCAGCATTTGGCGTCTGTACTGACTGCTCCACTGTACATTTTTCCTCATGTACTTTTAGATATTCCTTTCTGGTGAAGTGTCTGCCACAAGTTTGACATGGAAAAGGCCTTTCACCAGTGTGAATGCGGATGTGACGAATCAGCCCAGCATGACTCGAGAACTGGTGTTTGCAGAACTGACATTTGGATACAGAAGGTCCAGGGACATGAGTTAAACAATGCTCACTAAGTGCCTTTGAGTCAGCATAGGCTTCTTGGCAGAGAGCACATTTGAACTCCTCTTTGTAATTTTTTTCTACCTTTAGAGTTCTAGCTTGGTCCTTGGGAGGGACATTTTTTTCTACCTTTAGAGTTCTAGCTTGGTCCTTGGGAGGGAAAATTTCCTCAAGCTTACGTCTTCTCTCATGCACAGCCACATGTCGAAGCAGAAAAACTGGAAACTTAAACTGCAACGGGCAATCGGGGCACTTAAGCATGCCTTTTTTTGGATGGGATTGTCTGTGATTTAACAAATCTCCAATAGATGGCAGAACTTCCCAACAGACTAAACACTGTACATTCCGCTTATGCACATTTTTGTGAGTCACTAGGTGTCCATGCCTGGCAAAATTTTTACCACAGTCTAAACAGCGAAAGGGTTTGTTTCCTTTATGAAGTCGTAAGTGCTTTTTAAACGAGTCCGATAAAGTAAAGGCTTTTCCACAGAAGCGACAAGAGAAAGGAGGGCTTGCATCCTTATCAGCAGATTCTTTGCTAGTTGGCTTTTGACTGGTAGGGCTTGAACTTTTCAAATCGACACCATTACTCTGTTTGTGTTTGATTGCTTTTTTGGCATTTAAAAGCAATTTATGCTTTGCAAGATGGCTGTAGTATCCAGACTTGCTAGAATACACAGATGGACAAAAATTGCATTTGTACCGTGATGCTTTTTGTACAGGAATAGGCAATGTTGACTCTTTGTCCTCATTTTTGGTTTTGATAACTTGCTCCAACTCTTTTCTTTTCTTTCCGTTTCCTTTGGATGTATACAGTTTAAGCTTAACACAAGTTTGCTTGATGTGTCTATTGCGGTTGCTGGCCATGGTAAACACATCCTTACACAAAGGGCATCGATACTTTCCACCAATTTTTCCTTTGCCTTTTTTAGTGTATTCTTTGAGACACTGTTCACGCAAATGGCGTGTCCGATTGTAGGAGTACTTGAAAATGCGAGGACAAATGGGGCATTTAAATTTTGGAAACTTGCTATCTGGGACTGAAGATTTTTCATGAGGAACAATCTTTTGAGAACACTGCTCTCTTTTGTGTTTGTTAAGATTCCAGGTATATTTGAATGCTTTTCCACAGTTATCACACTTGAAGGGCTTCTCATCTGAATGTGATCTAAGGTGTGATTTTAGTTGTGCTCTAAGCCTGAAAGTCTTCCAACAAACTTGACAATGCATTTGTTCAGGCGATTGGCTTGTCTTGGACACATCCATTAGTTTCACATAGCAATTACGAAGTTCTTTGTGGGAGTCAGCTGTTTCAACCATGTCTGGTATATCTGTCTTTCCGAGGGTTGCTTCTGAATGCTCTGCACTCTGTACAGGAGGGTCTAGTATCAAGGGTGTGCAAGCTGCTTTACGCTTGTGTTTTTGACATTTTTGAGCACTAGGGAAGTACAATCCGCAACAGTCACATCTATGTTGTGTGACAACTATGTGCTTCAGCTCATGATCTTCATAATACGCTTGACGAACAAAGGACTTCCTACAGTACCTACAAATGAACTTGGCCTTCTCCTCAGTTAGCCCTTTAGTGTATGATGGTGATGATTTTAACTTGTCACTAAGCTTGACTTCCCCACAGAAGTGTTGTGTCAATGCGCCACTATTGAAGGGACATTCACAAGGGGGACAATACTGAGATCTACTGAGATTATGGAGAGAATGTGTGCTGTGGTAGTGCTCGATAAGCTCATCTATACTTTGTGTTGACCCCTGGCACTCAAAGCAATGGTAGTTTTTTCCATTACAAGTTTTCTTCTCAGTTGTTTTAAGGAGAACAACAGGTTGCAGTTTTCTCTTTTGGGTCTTGAAATATGATAAAGAATCTTTGCTTGCAATGGTGCTTTTGTCAGTCAGACATTTGTGCTGTGCAGGATATAAGGAGGTTCTGGATGTCTGGTCAACACATAGTAGAGGATCTTTTGGTGCATCAGTTCCTTCATCCATCCGATTATTAGATTCAAAAGCAGTTTTTAGAAGAACTGGCGGTTCCGTGCGATTAAACAGATTGGACTCATCGACTTGGTTTACATGTGCATTTTTCAGGTGTTTCAGTTCCTCAATGTTTTGTGTTTCACTTTTTAAACCAAAACAAGACTCAAGGAATCCAAAACTACTCCGCTCAACTTGTTCATCAGATGTGAAGCACTTCTGTCCTTCCAGCTGAGAAGAATCTCCATGGCCAGGTTTTGAGGATGTTTTCTTAGGATATGGTTGGTCGCTTTCTAATTGACAGCCACCAAGTGAATCCTTTCCATGGCCAGATATCTCAGTCGTCTCTTGAAATTCAGGATTTGGAGGTGTATTTTTAGGATCTGGGTTCATTCTGTCCAATTGGTAGTCACCACATGGATCTTTTGTAATGCCAGAAATGACAAATGTATCTTCAAGCTCAGGTCTTGATGATGCATTTTCAGCATCTGGGGTTGTCCTTTGCGATTGGCAAACACTTAGTGAATCTATGGTTAGGCAATTGTTTTCATCTTCATAAGAAGTGGATGAAAGGCAGTTGTTTTCATTTTCATTAAAAGTGGAGGAAGTCTCAATATGATTTGAAGTGGAACCACCGTGAGATGCATCAAGTTCTTTGCAATGCATCGTAGTTTGATCCAAAAAACAATCCAAATCACAAGAATGAATGTCCTTTTCCTCAATGCGCCCATCTTTTGAAAAAAGCATTACACCGTTCATATTATCCACGCCTTGTACTTCTGTACACGGATCCTCAGAATTTGAGATAAGAGAGTCCTCATTACAAGTATGGTTTACATCACCTTTGCTCTCCCCCATGGTCACTGGAGGTCCAGTGTCCTGCTGTAGATTTATTTCACTCATAACTGCTTTAACAGTACTATGGCAGACCTCAGCAGAAGAAAAGTCCATTGCATTACTTGAATTTTGGTCTCCTTCCTCTAAAGACAGACCTGCCTGGTTTCTACTAATGTTAACTTCAATAGATGAACTTAAATTGCAATCAAGATTTGCATCCATGTCAGAACAGCTGCTAATATCGGAATACTCCACAAGACCGGCATCCGTCTCAAAAGCAGTTTCTAATACGGCCTCGTCAGAACGTTCTTCCGATGTAGACTCAACTTCTGAGTTAGGCAAGGGAAAGGGTGTCATGTTACCATTATAATCTCCTTTATCCCCTGACTTTTCTTGTTCAAGGTCACCTGAACGCATTACATCTTGCCAAGATGATTCACAGCATGAGTCCTGCAGAGAACCAGACTCAAAGTCTTTCATGTCCGATTCTGCAATATCTTGCAAATCCATCATGCTTGAAAAGTTCTCCTTCTCAATTAATTGTTCTATCTCATGTGCAAAGTTCTCCTCTGATTCCACTGGAATTCCATTACATTCCATAGTTCCCACAGACATTTCTGGTCTCTGGTTAGAAAGAATCTGTGCTTGCTGGAAGGCATTCCATTTTTGAGCCATCCTCGTGTTCTCCTCCAAAGGCTAGCTCTCAAACTCTGTAAGACAAATGTCCATGTGATTACCAAAACAGCACACATTTGTAAATAAAATTAAATAGGATGAAATTAAATGCTCACCGCACTTATCCACTACATATCAGTAGGAACATTATAGCTGATTTGCCCAAAGACCTGCATAAAGAAAAAGAAATCTATTTCAAAAGCAGCATATATAAAATCAATTACTGATAAAATTGCTGTTTACTGGTATAATATGGATGTCTAAAATACTATCACTAATAGAGATGCACCATTTTGAATTTTTTAGGCCGATTCCGATTTTCATTGAGTTTGACCTGCCGATATCAATTTTAGCCAATTCCGATTTTTTTTTTCTAACCACTTTATTTTCAATGGCAAATATTTATTTTCATTTATAAAACCCCAAATACTTTTACCCAAACTGAATAATAAAAACGTTTAAATGGGTAAATTTTCTATAAATATTTTCTCAATAGAAGTGTCCTCATTTTAATTTCTGACATACATAATACTGTGCATTTTGGCCACTATTTGTGTGAAATCATATTTATTTTGTTCATTAAGTGTGCTTTATTTTTTTGTGCTGCTCACGCTCAATTAAAGTTAGACCTGGTGCCAAAACCGCTTCACTGCTGCTCATGCGCCGCTCCTGCTTGGCACTCAAGCACGGCTCCTGCTCCCGGTGTGAATTGCACTCGTTGATTAACATACACACCAAAAAAAATGCGCGCCGTTCACACTTGCAGTGTAAAACGGCCGTAATTCATAAGGTTTCCTACATGCACTTTCCGTGTGCACGTGTGATGCTGATGTTGCGCAATTTTAATCATTTTAATGAGTGCATTTTGGCATAAAATCACCATGTCAGACTGACCGGCCAGATCTTAGCCGATCACATGAAAATCGGCTAATTCTGGTTACCAGCCGATCAATCGGTGCATCTCTAACCACGAATAATAATAATATCCAACGTAAACTTTCCGAACTGTACTGCCAACTATGTAGTAGCACTGCCACAGCATCATGCTAAGACATTAACGCTTAAGTAATCAGCAGGTAATGAATCAATTAGAAATCTAAGAGCTTTTTGTTCTTGCAGAGCACTTTTGCAGTTCATCTCAGCTTTTGCAAAACTTGCATTTTGCTTTGTTCATCACACAAAGTGCCCCGTCATTCTTTCTTGTAATTTTGGAGTTCGACAGAACCAGGCCCCAATCATCTCTGTTGATTATATGCAAAACATCCAGGATATAGAGAGGTTCTCTAACCATACACAAGATCAAAGATACATGGAGTGTGGGCTTCAAATACATTTGAACATAAACAAAAGTTTTCCCCCTTAAATGTCAAGATGAAAATAAAACAGAATACATTTCCCTTTTAAATGTTATTTCTCAGTAGGCTATTTATTGTAAATTATCCATAAACATTTTATGTTTTTATTCATGTGCCTTCAAGCTTTCAAAATAATGTGCAGCAACAGCTCTCTCTTCTGATGACGCATGAGTGCAGACAACCTGTCACTCACATTAGATCGCAGCAAAAATAAAAAATACAATAAATTCCCTGTGCCTAAAATTAAGCCTAGACCTAAATTTTTTCTTGTTCGAGACTATTGGACATGTGCCGGTATTCGCAAATACAAATCGCGGTAATGAATATGCACAATATTGTTATTGCGGGCAATACAAAATACCAAGAAAAATAATAGATGATTCGAATTTAGACTTTTAGAACGCACATTAGCTTTTTTTACATCAACCACTTAAACACTGCTGCATACATGTTGCACAAAACACTGCGCACTCTGATGTAAACAATACCCACATGTATAAGCAATGTGTGCATGCAGCGCAGTGCGTACTCTAATGTAAACAATCCTGACATGGAGTAGAAGCATGGCGGAAGGAGCGCAACTCACACATTCAACTTCAGCCTCAAGCACCTTTCAGACAGGACGCAGAATATGCGCACGGGGACGTTTCGTTGCCGCTTTGACCAAAGCACAGACAGAGTCAAAGTTCAAAATAGTAAAAAAAAAAAAAAAAAAAAGTAAAAAATAGCAAATCGCATTGTATCTGAAGCAACGTTGAACCCAGCGCACATTCCACGTCCTATCTTTACGCAATTGACACTTTTCACATGCTCTCAAGCAGTGAAAAATAGTGGAGCAAAGAGGACACGACACCGATAGTCTAGACAGAGCAGGTTATTTTTGATATTGAAAAAAAATTAAATAAATCGGCTCTTAGGTTCTGTCCAATGTAACAGATCACTACACCTCGTTCAAGTAACCCGATCATCTAAAAATAAAGTACAATCGATCAATCAGTGTTTTTTCAAACATGGAAAGAGGTCAATAAAACTGCAGGAGAACAATCAAGTCACAGAACGTTACACTTACCTCAGGAAAGTCTTTTAATTACCAGCACATTAGTTGACTAGAAAAAACAGAGGAGTATTTTGCTAAATATGTACACTATTACATATTATATGTTTACTTGTCATTACATAATTGTTATTATAATGAAAAACGCATTATATTTCATTTCTCTCAGTATCTTTACAGCATTATGCGAGATATTTTTTTTCTTGTGAAAAAATAACATGCAGACTGTAGCCTACCATTATAATTTATCCAAATGAGTCAATATCAAATTAAGATTGAAATCAAATCCAAGAATTGAATTGAATACAAACAGTGGCCTACCAGTCATTGTACCATGTTAACATTGTAACATGTCACTAAACGTAATAAAATTCTGTTCAGTTACCATATGTTTTGAAAATAACAATTACTAGAGGTGTGAACCTACACTGGTCTCACGGTTCGGTTCGATTACGATTATCAAGTCTTCGATTCGATTCAATTCGATTATCTCGATGCATCACGATGCATTGACGATGCACTGCATCCTTATTTTTCAATTTTGCTTCACATGTATACAATTTTGTCAATTCAGGGTGGGCGATATGGAAAAAATATCATATCACGTTTTTTTTTGGAAAATCACGATCACGATTTTTTATCACGATTCTTTTTCAATTTGGTTTTAATATTTTGCAAGTGGCTGTTCATTACAGCCAAACTAATGTTAAAAACAAATCCTTAGGTAACAAAAGAAAAATGAAAGGCATACATTTAGGCCAGTGGCGAAGATAAAAATCTTTGTCATTTTCTTTTTTTTATATTAAAAAAAAAGACAAGATAAACATTACACAAATTAATTTTCAAATTAAATAAATAGTGCTTTATTTTTTCAGATGCAGTAGGTGTATTTAGCAGTAGCATTGAAGAAAGTAATTAAATTAACAAATATGAAATTAAAACACTACATAGACTTCACTGAATAAATTGATTCTTATTAAAGCTACTATTAAAGTTCTCAGTCAGTGAGTGATTTTCTTCTTGTGTGTTTTTTATTTTTTATTAACACTAAAGGGATAGTTCCCTCAAAAATGAAAATGGTCTTAATTTACTCTCTCAAGATGTTTTAAACATGAATAAGTTTCTTTCTTCTGTTTAAAATAAAAGTTATTTTGAATAATGTGGGTAACCGAACAGTTGCTGGTCCCCCTGTTTTTTTATAGGTTGTCTCCTGGAAGTTAATGGGGACCAGCAACTGTTTGGTTACCCACATTAAAAAAAATGTCTTTTGTGTTCAGCACGAGAAAGAAATGAATACAGGTATGGAACAATATTAGAGTGAGTAATTAATGACAGATTTTTTTTTATTTTTTTTTGTGAACTATCCCTTTAAGGACAAGCGGCAGTACTATTTACTCCTGTCGTTTATAGACCAGCACGCGACGCTTTTAATATAGACGCATATTACACCAGATATTCTCTCAAATGTTTGCTTTCACTTTAGACGTAGCCTGTTTATGTACACATTGTGTGTATTTAACAGTATTAGCATAATAAGACTCGAAAGATAACTTAGTCCAGTATTCAGGCGCTGTTTGACAGGCTTCTAGTGCCTGTGATTGTCGTGGGTATATGCGGTCAGGAAAGCGCACGTTAGAACAGCGCATCAGCGCGTGGATTAAATGTTAAACCAGCAAGGCTTATGCAAGTAATGAACTTTTGTGAATTGCAGTGTCCCGTACCTATTCATTAACGTGTGATGTCTAGGCTACGTCGCGTTGTACAGATTCGGAGGCGCCAGAACTGAACTGATAGAATGCACTGTAACACGATACTACGATATTTCTTCAAAAGCAGATCGTGGAGACATTTTAATCGTCCACGATTAAAAATCGTCATATTGCACACCCCCTTGGAGTATTTTTTAATGCACGCTCTGTCGTTTCGCCACCCTCTGCCATTGTATTGCCGCGAGCACGCAACACGCGGTGCTGACGTCAGAAAAGCGTCAGTACATTATAACCGGTTAAGCCTAGTTCACACTACGTGATTTTAAGCCCGATTTAAGCCCGATTTGCAAATCGTTGAGTCGCCGACAAGTCAGGGTGTTATCGCGTGCAAATCGCGGGCGATTAGCGGACGATTAACGCTCGCCAATCAGTTAGTGTGAAAGAGCCAACAACGCATCAAAGACAGCTCGCAGACACCTCGCAGACAGGTCACCGAGCTCAGAAAAATATCTAGCATGCTAGATATCTCGCGCAGTCGCGCGACTCAATCTCAGTGATGTCATGAGTACAGCCAATCATAGCAACGCATGGGTTGAGGACACCAGGTAAATCTTACTTTTTCTTTTTTGCATTTTTTTTTTCTCAGAGCATATCGTCGAGCAAACAGTGTGCAGCACTAGTTTCTGTCTGACGTCCATATTCGCGTGTTGTGTTCTTCTCTGCAGTTTCGCGTCATTTCTGGTTCGTTTTATTGCGTGGTTTTTCGTTACAAAACATGGTTTCTAGACCAGATAGAATCGTGTTGTTGTCAACTCGTTATTTGGTTGATTATTTTCAGGATTTAGACCGTATTATAGTACTGAAACAGCTCTCATTGAGTCACAAATGATATGCTCTTATCATCCGATCGTGGTTGTATCTCTATGTAGTGCGTTGTTAACTCGTGTAGTGAGTTACCTCCTGTTGTGGATCAATCACGTTGTGTTGTGTTGTGTGGTGTGAACAGCTAAACAACTTGAACACTCATGATTTCACTGAGAGCAAGTCATGTA